ACATCTGAACAGATATTTAACATATATACAAAGTAAACTACATAAAAAAAAACAATACACTTTTACCATAATATTAACGTATTCATGTCATGGCTGGTTTCACCATACGAAATTCCTTTCGAACATTTAGGAAAACATTTCATGATGAACGATACGAGTATAAATTTGCATCGTCATGGGAATAGAGAATGGCGATTGTTATAGTTTTTTGTTTCACTCTATAGAATTAAACGATTCATATTTCATCCTTCCATCAGAAAGGCACCGTCAATTCACCAGAGAAATATAATTCGATCAGGACCGACCCCCCCCCCTTCTTTCTTCCTTCCTTGCGCTCCTTTTTGGTAATTCAATCCATTGAGATCGGCATGTAATGTGAAATATGTCATCGCCTGGTCCCTCGACAACCGAATCGAAACTGGAGCTTCTTTCATGATATCATGCTTGATGAAAACAGCTTTCAAAACCTTCTCATAATGGTTGGGTTATTGACCAATCTAGATTGACAATGAGTGCAGAAATAGTGGTCATATCATGCAAGGTTGTCGTCTGGTTTTAATTTGAGATCATAATAATTGGAATATCGTGTTACAGTTTGAACCGCTATTGAACAGATAGCTCTGAATTAACAAATATCTTTTAAAATGAATAATCATGTATTTAAATATATTTTTCATAATTAACTAGAGGAATAGAAAAACGAAATATGAGTGACCATCTCGGAAAAAATCTTACAGAATTAATTTTTTGATGCGAGATTGGTCTTCTTCACAGTAATTAATTTCAACAGTGTGTTCCCTATTATTTTACTTTCAATCATAATGATATCTCGATGACGGAGTGAACTTTAGCCCTTGAATTTTTAAATATTTTTTAGGTTTCAATCGTACTATAAAACATTATTTTGTTTTTCTTCTGATTTGTAAAGTTGTCGTGTGACTCTTATAAAGGCAACAATCTTCCACCAAAAAGGAATCAATTCGATTAGTAACAACAACAAAATAAACAATAAGCAATTATGTAATCAAATACAATCATCTAACAGTGGCGGCAAACTCACCATAGTTATACTGATTAAGGTTTTTTTTATACAGCAAAATATATTATAATATCAAAGTGATTAAAATGAACTTTCTCCATCTCCTGTTACGGGAGTTAATTTAAGAAATGGCTAATAATTTATTTTGTTTACATTGATGGGATTTCACATTCGATGCGTGTCCATCAATTATGACGCAGTCGACCCCCTAAGCCCCTATTTTGATATTATGCCTCATATTGACTTAATTGTATACACCACCAGTATATTTCTGGTAATTGTTGAGGTGACATAACAGGGTCGGCCGGATACTGTATATGAGGCCGAGATGAATATCATAAACTAGCTTGCCTTTGCGGCAATTCATCTAATTGAACGTTCAAATTGAAAGACAAATAACATAAATCAACGACTTTAATTTGCGCTGTGAGCATGAAAGGGGTCTGTTGCCTAGCTTAGATTTGATGATTTTTACAGGGCTTATTGAAAGGCTGATAAGATTAGGTGGCATTAAAATACGTCATTTAGAGCAAGCTTTATAATGAGTGATGCTACAAAGCTCAATATAGATTACATGATTGCATTGTACCAGGTCAAACCAATAAATAAGGATCACCGTTGGAAAGAAAAATAAAATGCCTTCGTGTAAATAATCTATTAAAAGAAACACAGGCTCTGTGCAAATGCCTTAGTTAGTATATAGAGTGTAATGCTGAGCAAACAAATCATTAAGTTGTGTTAGAGCCTTCTTTGATTGTTATCATTATTATGACGCAAGCCTGACACGACTGTACCCTAATTATCCCCATTATAGCACCCTATGTGTGTATACAAGTGGGAAATTATCACACTCGTTTCTCGTTGCCGTAAGTCATTTCATTGGACCTACGCCAACGAATGTGACAATCTTAATAAGGCTTTGAACTTATTTACAATCTAACCTTTCGATTTTATTATTCTGAGAGTATATTGCTATTTTCCGCCATGAATCTCGCTCCATTTCATAAATCATCGATGCAAACACGCATGCTGGGCAATTCAGCTGCAGTAAATAGGAAATGAAAGAACGGCATATTAAAAGCAGTGGAGATATAAGCAAACGTGAAATGAAATATTTGGATATACAGTCATGTAAAGAGACGAAGTAAAATGGTTGCGTGACAGCACGGGAAGAAGAAGACAGGACAAAGATAGTACAAAAATAGAAAGAAGGAGAAAAGACAGTGTAAAACAATGTATAGGCATAATCATGTTGATTAAAAGGGAACAATGTGTATACACGTATACGTCGTAATCTCGTCTTACACTTTAGTCTTTCCCCATACATCATTCATTTGCCTTCTCTCTAGTCTCATGCAGGCATACTAATAGCAGTAGACATTTCAAGATATTATTTTTAAAAACATATAATAAAGGAGAGCGGGATATCCTCAACAGTTCGTAAGAGGGGTGAACTTGTGTAGCCCTGGGTGATGCGGACACATCAGAAGTTGTATCGGTTTCTTCCGAGTCTTCAAAATAGATCCAGGGTTCGATTCGTCACTAATGATTACAGCAAAAACACGGTTGAAAATATCATTTGGATTATAAAGAGAAACGTATAGTGCTATATCCTAATTATAAATAATGTTTAAAGAGATTAAAAGCTTTACGAAACTATTTACTTGATAAATTACTATCTTATTGGGCGACCATTATTTTGATTAACTTTCACATTGTCTTCCACTTTAGATATCCATTTGCAGCCTTTTGAAATTGCTGATATCTCGAATTTCATCTGTACTAAGCAGTAACTGTGTCAATGAGCGAGTTAGTGTACTGCAACATGATAAGATTATACTGCCCTTCCTGCTTTATCTCGTTTTGATTATTCGGAGTACTGACAACCTAAAGCACGGAAGGCAATTACCACAATCATAAAGGAAGTAGTAGATATTCGCAACGATCATAACATTCATATTACAAAATATAATAACTTTCTAAAGCAAATGTTACGATTAAAATTCATTGTTTAAACAGAATTAGCGTTCTAAATCAAAGGAAAGCAATATTATGTAACCCTGACATGGATTTAATTTCAATGCGTATTTAAATTTTCTTAATAATCTACTAAAGACTGAAGCAAAATGCAGCTGTTTATCGTTATTTTGTTACTATCAAACTTTATTAGAAATATAAACACGATATAGATTTTTTGTTAAACTATTCTATAATTGCAACTGTATTTATTGTGTACGAGTATTTCAACTAGTATTATGAAATTGATAGGAAGCCATTTTATAATCTATTTACAGTTTCAGGTGTATGTGCCTTTTTGTTCGACGAGTGGCCTTCGTCAGGATGCATACTCTTCAATAATCATGATTGTAAACAGGAACTATCCTGGGCTGATGCAGTGGCGTATAGCTATAGGGGAACAATGGGGGAAACGCCCCCCACCCCCCCCCCCCCCCTCAGATGGCTAACAAAAAAGTGGAAGAGAGAGAAAGAGAGAAGAGAGGGAGAGAGAGAGAGAGATAGTGAGAGAGAGAGAGAGAGATAGAGAGAGAGAGAGAGAGAGAGAGGGGGGTAGAAAATGGGGATACAGTCAAAAGAATATCCACCCCCCCTACCCCCCGACATCACGCCCGTCAATGTCTAGGGCCAGGCTACGCCACTGCTAAGATTTATCATTATACAAGAGCAAAATACAATCGAGTGATATGACGTAAAGCTCTCGTCAACATTGAATTATTTTTCTTATTTTTTTCTTCCATTCTTCCTTCCCATTTCAAGGATCTTTTACTTTACAGTAAGTTGTTATTCGTTTGCAGAATTAAGTTTAATTACCTTAGTATGTAAAACCTTTACACCCTATTCGTACAGAAAATTAAACCTCTGCCTATCTCTTTACAGGTCAGATTAGACTTTTAGTTTCCTTCTAAAACCGAAAGAATTTTGTTTGTTAGTTTGATTTGTTTACTCAAAATCCAAGCGTACTGGAGTTGAAAGGATACCCAGTTTCATACTCCATTAGCTCTTGTTCCAAAGTATTCGATCTACAAATTGAGGGCCTACTCCCACCCTCCCAATTTTCCTCAAACCACAGTTTCATCAAAAGTCATTCTCATTGACCGTGATAGCAAGGTATGGTATTTTAAAATTAAATTTCTGGTTCCATATAATTTCCCTTTTTTTAATCGAATTAATGATTTCATAGCTAGCTTGTGCATACCAGCACTGTTTTCTTGAAATGCAAAACATGAAATTGTTTCAGAGGCGAGGCCGTAGGGATAGCACATGCACCCCCCCCCCCCCCCCCCCCTCTTCCCAATCGACTGGGAATATAAAAAAGGAGGAAGAAAAGAAAGACAGCGGAAAGCTTCAGGAGAAAAATCAATTAAATGAAGATGCAGGACCCCAAAGCCACATCCTCCCCTAATTGATGGCTTTGTTAATCATATTCCATATAGAAACATAATTATGCTACCCACTAATCAGTAACTAATGACTATATACAAATATTACTGTGCTAGTTGAATTCCTTGCAATTTGGTTGAAAATTTATCTTCTGTAAAGTTTCCCCAATATAAATCCCTAAGTATCCATTGATCGGTTCATTTTGTTAAATTAATTTAAATTGGCAATAAGAGCAATAATAATGGCACCCAATGGTTCATATGTTATTGACTTAACAATTACACACTCATATTCATTAACTCATATAAATAACCCATCATTGATTAGTGTTTGTTTTTTAGTAATCAATGTAGGCCTAATGCACATGCTCTTTTTTACTCACATCTCATCATTCACGAATTCATAGACACCCGTACAAAATTTCTATGACACACCTAGACAAAAAGCCCACATCATAACTACCGGTACACACACATAAACAAAATACAACACACAGAGCAAAGACAGCATGAAAACAATATCATAATCGGACACAATTGAAAAACATAATAAACATGATCAATTTCTTTAAATACTTTTGTCTTTATTAGTGACATCTGTCACAGTTCAAAGCATATCTGGAAAAATAGGTAGATATAATGATGGATCACTGTACCCAAAATACCAGTGACCATCACTAAAATGACTACAAATTACATCACAGTACCATATAAAACTTTTTTTTTATACCTGAAATACATATGAAGCAAGTATCAATCAAGTCATCTTCGCCAATAAAACCATGACCGTTTTCAACATTACATTTTCTCCTTTCTCTCTCACTCACTCATTTCCCTCAAATCTCTTACGCGCATGCTCTCTTTCTCTTCGTCACAAAACCAGGCACTATAAATTGTTTTGTTCACTAATCCTCTGTCAACAATATCAATCATGAAATATTTTCATCTTGTAAAAAGAAAGGAACAATTCTGAAGAAGGAAAAAATTACATCAAGATCTTTCAATAAAAAAAAATGTTTTAGAAAGCCACCTCCTTTTGCCGTACGTACGCTGAGAGTAGATTCACCCACATTGTATTCATGCATAGCAAACAGCATGAAGGAAATACAAATAAAATATATGCTTTCATTTTGTCAATGATATATCATAAACGAGCAAAAAATATGGCTAATACCATTTCATACCAGCTCAATATATGTCTTCTTTAAATCAACATCATAATATATAATAATCACGTTATCTCTTGCAACTTTGAGTATGCAAATCGATATCAAGTCATACTGCTAAGTTCTGCCATTCAATTACAACAATCTGATTTATTGGAGAAGAGCTCACTAAGAATTGTCTTTGGCAGAAGATTTATAATCTCTAGGAGTAAATGGCAAATCAAATATTGCCTGCACAGTGTTTTCATCAACAGACCTCTTAAGCTCTTAAGCTATAAGTACCTAACTTTGCTCCAGGTATTTATTTATAAATAAAATAAAAAATGAATTATTCGAACTTTTGTACAAGCACGGCAAACTCTGAATCCAATTAGTTTCTTTGATGCTAAAATGGAGTTTAGATATAGAATATGCAGAGTGATTCTGTTAATAAGAAACATATTTGTACAACATGTTAAAAACAAACACTTTGTAATGAATCAATATATATGAATTTGTTTGAAATATCTTTATAATATATATAAATGCATTGAATCATCAAAGTATATACTCTTCTCACATTATACGTTCGTAACAGATATCGCAATAAATCCTGAATTAAAAAAACAATGAATTCAAGATAAGTGAAATTTACTTTATGAAAAAAAAATGCAAATATGCAAATACATGAATTGTAGATGTATGCAAAGTAATACTTAACCCACATCATAATTCTTTACTATGTGGAACTATGAAGTCATTAAAATGTACAATCCTTGAACAGATATTATCCCTAACAGCTGCACAACATGTTAACATGTTCATTTGAAATAAGAACAATAGACACATACAGAAGGAATACTGCAATACATACTAAACACATCATAGGTTGATAGAGCAATACATGTGTATCACTAATCTTTCGTGAGATACATGGATTAATAATTGGCCAGTCTTCATTCAAACATAAACATAATCAAATGACCGATAGTGATATTTAAAAAAAATTAAAGTTGATAAAATATCATATTTGTGATGCACTGCGAATGCATAAATAAACAAATGAATGTTTCAAATGTTGTCTCTTTGACTAAATTATAGAAAAAGAAAACATACGAGAAGGAATAGAAAAAAATGCTACCGAATTTCAACAAATCAAAGTTGGTCCTTGAGCTTGCACTATCATAAAACTTGCATCTGCATATAAAGAGTTTTATCAGCCTCATTGCAATTCATATCATGAGTCATGTACATCTTTGCAATCAATTGTCAAAAATAATGGAAATGAAAAGTAACTCTGGAGAGGATTAAAAAAATAAGAGTGAGCAAATGTTGCAAATACCCTTCCATTTTCACACTGCTTCCCTCCAACAAATCAAAATGACTCCTATGGCACTGATAATGAAAACCTAACATAACATTTTCAGGAGTGGATTATATTATTTCGACACTGACACAATTCTATAATCAATTTGTGTTAGGCTGTACAATGTCAAATATCTCTCATGATGATGCAAAATAAAATATGAAAAGAAGTGAAACCCTTTTAAAATATAACCCAAACTGGAAAAAAGAGGTTTGTCAAATTCAGTTATCTCAAATTTCCTTCTCATCCAATATTTATGAATTTGAAACCAAAAATTTATTAGTCAAAAAGCCATCATAGCCTTAGAAAAAGTACAATTCAGATTACTTTGTACAGCAAATGGAACTGAATAACATCGTTTTTGTTAATAGTAAATGCACCTTCCCCTGCCAATCCAGGTCTGATTTAAACCGCAGCTTTAAGATGATTTGAAATCAACATAACATACATTCAAAGTTGTTATAATTTATCAATAATATTTTCACGAAAATGCATATTATTATTCTGATGTACATGTACATGTAGCGTTGCCTGGACACAAGCACAAAGCTTATGGGTCCAGAACCAAATTGTGGGGGTCTGTGTGTTTGTGCACTTCATCCCTGGTTGTGTCAAGCTCTGTTTTTACCACAATGGCAAATAAGAAGTTTATCATACACGTACTGATACTTGTGTACTTATTACAAACTTGGTATGATTATTCATATTCATCTATAGACCAAGGATTAATATAAAGATTTGTTTTGCAAATACAACCCCAAATACCAAAATTTGTACTCTTTTCCGAAAGTGGAGATCGATGTGCTTTTAAGGGTTTAAACAGTCCTTACAACTGAAGTATCATGAATCATACATGCTTGAACATCTTCCATCTTATCTAAACATAGTTATATCAGTTCCATTTGCTGTGTTGCGGTTATTGTTCGTGTGTATCAATACAATGGAAGAACTGCTAACTCTGTTACCATAAATCATCTGCTAAGAGCCAGTAGGGTGTTAACATATATTTCACTTTACAGAAAGAATTAACACCCTACTGGACTCAAGAAGATGAAATCAAATTTAGTACCTGAGAGTCTCTGTGAAAGTTTGTTACCGACACAAAGAGAAAATCTAACAAAGTCAAATAAGTGTAAACACTAGCATTTAAAAAAAAAAGTTCATCTAATATCGCTTTTCCATGCTGCGTGCACCACCCATTAAGAATACATGAATTTGTTAGACAGATAAAAAGAGGTAGTTCAAGATTTGACATCGAGTATGTCTACTACATTCCTTCTCTGCTAAGAAAAAGAGATGCACCTGTACCTAGAAAAGCGTGTTTGGCTGAGAGATCCAAGGCATCTAAGCATGTTATGGTTTGATGAGTACTCAAGAAAGGAGCCTTCGATGTACAGCTTAATCCGGTGATGTCAGCTGCAATCACTGAGCTCTCAACATAGCCTTCCTTCTCTGGCTTCAGAAGCAATCAGTCCCAAGGATTATCTACAGGGTTGATCTCCAAAGAGACAACATCCTTCATGACAAGGCCTCTGGCATAAGATCCTTTCATCTCCCGATGATGACGTCCTTTGCAAATCATCCCGGTAGAAAATCCCTCCGGTCAAGCCATCCTTGTCAGCTACTGGCATTAGATACCCATCCAGTGTCCTTTCTGTAAGCTGCCATTGAAAGCTTTCCTTCTGTGGTGTTTTCTCAAGCTTGCTACAGCATCTCCAGGTAGATACGCATAAGTGATCAAACAGCGCCCTCTAAGTGTGGTTTAGTAGAATGTTGTCATCATGTCAGGTTCTGCCGATGTTGTGTGAGTGCACTTGTTAGTGAAAGCTACAAGGTTAGTTTGCCCATCCATCATAACATGGCCCAACAATCTCATTGCCGCTCTGCGTTCGTACAAGTCAATAGGTTGGGTGCTTTCTAGTTCGATTCAAGTGCTAGCGTTGGTGAGGCCGACACCCAATCGGGAGTACCAAGAAAGAAGAATAACTACCTCGTTCCACTAGGTATAGTTCCAAATCTAATGGTCTTGCCTCAAAAACTATCCAACTGTTAGCACTGCTTGTACTTCATCTGTTGGTGTTAGGATTAACACCAAAAGGTAACACCACAACGCCAATCTCTAGGAGAGTTCTAGGAGTGTTAGATCTCAGTAAGCAGCTAGTGATGGATCCTCTACGGGTGTCATTGGATTGATACAGATTGAGCGGAAAGAGCAGATGTTTGGGTCGCTCAGCAGCCTAGGTGGTACTCTGTTGTTTAGTGCAATGGTCTGAAGAGAGATGAAAAGAGAAGTAAAGGAAATAAAGAAAATTAGAATTCAAGGCAAAATGAAATCATAAAATCATACATGAAAGATTGTGATGACAATTCCAAATGCATTATAATTTCAACTTTTATCACAATACTTCAGTTTAATGTTAAAATATAGTTCAAATATTAACATTATCACAATATATATTGTAATGTATCACTTGTGAATAAGCTCTAAATATATGCAATAAGAATTTGAGATGAATTGAATATGGCAATTGTAGAACATGTACCGTAATATGAATAGAAGTAGCTCTGGGGCGGGGGGGGGGGGGGGGGGGGGGGATAGGGGAATTGATGAGTGTCTGGAAGGGGGTGTCCTACCATATCGTCCTTGTTTTCACGAAGTGACAGTAGTAAGGAAAATCGTCATGCAAAGTAAATGCAATTTTTTTTCACTACCATCACTTCGTGAAAACAGCGACGATATGATATCAAAACCATATTTTCCCTTTACATTCCCAGCTAGCAATACCTCATCCTAGACCTCCATTCTGATCACCCAACACCCGGTGCCAGCCTTTTAGTCAAGGTTTTACCTTCATATGATAGGTTCAAGGTGGGCCAGGTGTTGTTCAAGTATATCATGCACATATTAATTTTCCTTAACAAGCAGGATAGCATTAAATGTGCGTGTCAAATGAATGTTTTTGCTAGGTAATTACAATGTGTATCAAGATACATATGATAAATCACCATAGAGCTAAGGCTGATACAGTTTTTTAAAAGACAGTCAGCACACTTTTCATCGCAGTATATTTTCCGTATTCGGAGGTCAACCCTACACATACATTTGGCTGAACATAGAAAACAAGGTGGGAGCAAGGGTGACAATATGTAATCAGAGTGAATTAAGGCCCTATGTTAGACGAGCCTTTGCAAGGCCACATGAACTAATGTGGTTGTAGTTTATATGGATTCAAACACATAAGCTTCATGATTGTACAAGGACATGCATAGATCATGACACTTGCTATTTTTGGTAAACACGTCCATAGGCTCATTCACACACAACTAAAAGCTGGATTTAAGCCGCATTTAAAACCCATTTTGCCCTTTTCAGACTTGGGATATAAAACAGATTTGGCTATCTTAAATCCATTGACCTATATTATACACACAGAGAGTGCATAGAAAATAACTAATCACGGTTATTAACATAAAACTCACTATAGTGCATTTTAAGTGCAATCCAAAGCTCACTAACCAATGGAATTTACAGGGGAAAAGGGCGAGATTCTGAAAGTATTTTCTAATTTTATGAATTGCTGTGTGTGTCAAGGGCCCTACAGAAATGTGACAGATTCAGAAAAAAAGAGAGATTTAAAAGATAGAGAGATAAAGGAAAAGTAAGGAAGGGAGAGGGAGAGGGGGAGAGAGATTAAGAAAGAACCTGATCACTTCTAAATCTTTGAATTCAAGAATCTCGATCTAAAGAAACAGGATGCTGAATATTAATTACATCCTTCCCTTCAGGTCTTGTGGAAATGTGTGTTAAGTAGATGTGTAATTCAAGCATACAGTCACAATTCAACTCTGGCTTAGTCTTGTACTTTGTATGTGTGAAATCAAGGAAATAGAATCCAATATGGCAGAGGATTGCAATGTCTCTGAATTACCGATAAATGGGGGCTAAATGTATCACCATTCTATACAAATTTAAATGGTATACTACACATGTGTATATATGCACATACAGTATGTGCTGAGTGTTTCTAGGCCTCAATTTTTCCAATTTGTTCCTATGCACATTTAGCAATACCATTGGAAATCTTTAACTAGTCCTTATCCATGGAATAATTCGAATTAATTTCAAAATAACAGGGAAAACAGATATTTTTTGTACAAAAAAATATCATTTTCTTGAATGATTTAGTTCATCACCAATTAACGGACCAAACTGAGTCAGAGCCCTAGATTGGCCTAGAAAATAACCAGAAAATAAGTGGTCTGATGAAGCTATTACATAATACCTCCTTCCATCTCTCATACCTTCACCTTTTAAAGAAAAACAGAAAAACAACTACATGTACAACTGAGCCAAAAGGTGTTTACATTTTCAGCTTACAAGCTAGAGCAAGCAAACTGGAGAGACAAGCAATGAAATATATTGTACTGCCTTTGCCGTGGAGATGGAACAATTGTAGGCAACAATAGGTCTTGGTGGCATAGATGTAATCGTTGTTTCTTTGTATGCTCCACCAGAGCAAACAAGTCCATTTCATTCCCTTCAAAGAATACCATCTCAAGTATGGTCCTGATAAATAATATGCTTTTCAAGGGCTATTAGTTAGACTCTATGCAAAGAGAGATTCACTTCAAGTGCTGTTTGTCTCCCTTCTCTTCAAGCTTTCTCCACTGCTTTCTGTTTTCATTTAGGCTAACTAAAGGTTCTATTAAAATGAAAAGAAAAGTTCTTTCTACCTAATGTACCTTGGCAGTTTTTCAGGGATATATACCGTAACTACACACCATGCCCCCCCCCCCCCCCCAAAGGTCTTACAACAAGAAGGGTGTTATGCATATATGTGGATTTAATCCCTTCTGCTCCTCACATATTGACCTACTCCTTTGCTTAGTGATTAGAACAGGGTTAGCTAATACAGTCTTGCCAAATGACAGATAGAGAGTAATGAGTGAAGAACCAAAGATATCCTACATGGTGTTTTATATGTACATGTACTTGCATGTACACTGCATGTTCTTTGCACTACATCCTAAACCATTTTATTAAAATTCAAAAGAATCTTAACTAAACTGTGAATCATTTCTGACCAACCAATCAGTCCTACATTTCCTGCTGCTGATGTTTTTGTTGTTGTTGTTGTTTTTGTTTACTTGATCTTGCATCTGACGTGTGTAACCGTGTAAAAAGGTCAAGCTGTTATCCTGTAGGAAATGCTTGGAAACCATCTAGTACTACAGGCTCATTTTGAACCAGATATTTATTTTTTTTAATTGAGGATAAACGCAAATTATCCTGCAAAGCACAAACATATTGGCCTATACATGTATGTACATATTGTCCTTGTTTTCACGAAGTGACGGTAGTGAGGAAAATCGTCACGCAAAGTGAATGCAATTTTTTTTCACTACCGTCACTTCGTGAAAACAGCGACGATATGTACGTTTATGTATTGGACAAAATGTATTATATCAAATAATCAATAGTTGGACTTAATATTTACAATGAACTAATGAACAAAAAGAAGACAACTGCATTAGAGGTCTTTGTTGTGTGGCCTGCTAAATATCTAGATATATATGTATAAGGAAGCTTACAAGTAGTTAGTTTTAGTTACAGAAAAGTTTTGTACAAAAAGAATCCCCCCCCCCCCCCCTCCAAACTAGATCTTCTCTTAAAATGCTGCAAAACTTTGAAGGATTCACAAACAGCAGTAACAAAACTTTGATCCCTAGTTTCATTGCAATACGCCTTGCCAGGCAGATAATATTTACATTGCTCTCTTAACTTTGATTGCACCCCTGGAGCTCTCACCTGCCTGCTCATCCGTTACCATAGAACCACCCTAGAACCACCTCACTTGGAACAAAGAAACCTGGTAGCTAGGTTTGAGCTGGTAGGCCTACACGTATGTCATTGTATGGTTAACAAAATCTCCTTTATTCCTACATTCGTTCTCTCTCTCTCTTTCTCTCTCTCTCTCTCTCTCTCTCTCTATCCACCTTTTAAATTTTTTTTAAAGGTAAAGACCAGTATTGGAAACGCCCCAATTTCAAAAAATGAAATGGAAGCTCTTATTACCATTCATGTGAAAGAATGTTTTGACTAAAATACATGATGATAAAAATTTTGCCGGGAAACCGCCTACTAATTGATATATTTGGTAAATTAGTTTATCTATTGGTGTGTGAGAGATAAACGAACGTGTCGTGCACGTGTGCGTAGTCCCATATACATATTTATGTGTACAGTGCTTGTAACTTTACCAAGACTGGGCCAAATTTCTTAACATTTTGATGATTCCAGAACCTTGCAGTACACACCAATACTTATATGCTAGATGATCAACCTTTTCTGATTGATTCCACAACGTTTCTTTCACAATGCAATCGCATGACCATAACTGGTCTTTATCTTTAACAGAGTATGAAAATATAAACTAGTTGACTGATGGCCTATGAGATCAATGGCATGGGAGACAGACATGAACCCGACGGAAAGTGGTAACAGATTTAGGACCACAAGACCATGTCAGTCTCATGAAGGGCCATTGGTCTTGCGGGCCGTCAGTCTCAGTCTCGGCATTGTGGGGCCGTCAGGCCATCAAGCAGATAATATACACTTAAGGATGTTTAGTAAATGCATCCAGGTTTGGTGTCTGGGTGCTGCATTGGCAGGTATATATACATATAGGCCTAATTGGAACTTCATTGTTATGTGTTATATTAAAAATTCTTGATGCAATCTGTTTAATTGTTGACAGCTCTATGGTAATAGTACCCCCTAAACAACAATATTAAGAACAACAACAACAAGTAAGCAATATGACCCTTTGAATACACAAGTGTTTCAATTCATTTCACTCACTGTCGTTGATTCCATTAGAAATAGTGAAATAAAGAGGTTTAGTACCATAGTGAGCAGAAATAACCAGGCCTCATCGTAATCCCCACACTCACAGCACCTTTCAAATTGGCAACGTGCCCACAAACCCTGGGCTCTGGAGTACAGCGAAATGCTTTGTGTGCATCACACTGAAACCAAAACGGCACATGAAGGCATGGGTAGACCTACATATAGGTCACCTAGTTGAACTCAAAGGATGCAAGCTGTCAGGTTTGTCAATGCTTATCTTTTATAATGAAACATGTATCCTATTACAGCAGCAGTTAAAAACAAGATGAAATATCATTCCTTGAAGTACACATCTGTCAACATACCCCTCTAAGGCTCTAACACAGCATAAAACCATGGGGTATTTAAGGGCAATCCAC